CTATGAGTCAGAATCAAGTTGATGGCAGTGAGTTTGGTTTTTATTTGTGGTCACAAGGACTAGCCACACCTTCCCTGCCTCCTCCATTACTGACATTCGGTGGTGGAGGACAAGTGACGCTGAATATCTTATGTTGCACTGGATGGTCTCACATATTAAGTGACGCTGAATATCTTACACTGCACTGGATGGTCTCACATATTAAGAATTTTCCCACCCCAAATGCTAAAGCAACACAAGCAGACCCTCAAAGGCCAAGCTAGACCAAGCCAGCCCCCCAGCCAGGAAGGGCTTTGGAGAACTCTAGGCGAACTCAGAGACATCATCCCAATGTGGTCTCACAGGACTTTGGTTTCCAACCACAGAGATCTGTTCTTTGGGATCAAGGAGATTGCCTGCCTTGCTTTAACAGCACCTATGTGGGCTGCAACCTCCCCAGGAGAGGTCAAACCGTGAGTATCACCAGCTATAACTAGGTTTATCATGGCTGAAAAATTTCCAAACTTGATGAAAACTACACACCTGCACACCCAAGAAGTTCAACAAACCCCAAGGAAAAGAAACAGGAAGGAAGACCACACCAACGTGCATCACAGTCAAATTGCTGAGGCCTTAGCTATATGTAAAGGAGCTCCTGGTGGCATAGTGGGTAAGGCATTTGGCTGCTAACCAGAAGGTTAGTGGTTCAAACCCACCAGCTGCTCCACAGGAGGAAAATGAGGCAATCTCCTCCTGTAATATTTACAGCCATGGGAACCCTGTGGGGGTTGCTATGAGTCAGAATCAACTAGATGGCAGTGGGTCTGCTTTTGGTTTTGGTAGCTGTATGGACACTCGATTGCTTCTCATGAAGCCTGAAGCACGGACATGAAACAAACAAGACAGGAAAGGCACAAAGAGAACGGGAGGAGAAGAAGGGATGTAGGAGAAATGATGAGAGAGAATCATGCAGAGAGAATGGTGACCTGGCAGAGGGTGGTGGCAGGTCACCAGTGTGGCAGGCTCAGTCAGGTGAGGCGGGTGTGCTGATCTCACTCACCTGTAGCAGGCCCAGCCCAGCCCCCGGAAGCTGTTAGATTCCCACCAATGATCCAGTACTCTAAGCATCTAGGGGCCCGAGTTCACTGTCTCTTTGCTGAGTGGATCCTGTGTCCTGGAGGTGGGCCCAATGCAGGGCAAGCAGCTCAGCAATGACAGACACAGCCAGCACAGCAGACAGCTGGGGGTCTGCAGGACATCTCCACTTTTCAAAAGTCTAAATACAGCCCTCCTCACAGTGGGAAGCCAGCAGCCCCAGAGCTCACTGTAGGAGAAACTTCCAAGTTCACTGAGGTGCAAGTTCACGGCCCACTTCATCTCCGGGGTACATCAGGCCTGCCACCAGTACACCCTGACACACTGTCATAGTGGGATGCTCTGGACCGTAGCAGATGACCCCCCCCCCCCGCCCAGAACCACAGGATGACACCCCCTGCTGGAGGAAGGGGCCAGTGAGAGTGCCGAGGCCCTGCCAGTGAGGGATCAGGACAGGGGACACTGGGACGGGGCATGGGGGGACTCTGCCCTGCACCTACCTGCCAGGCCGGGAGGACCTTCTCAATGTCATTCAGGTTGATCCCTTCCCCATCTTCCAGCTTCCCTTTGCCACACCTGGACGAGAAAAGACAGGGCGGCATTGAGAGTGGCTTCACGCATCCTGTCCCTGCCCTGCCAGCAGGAAGGGAGGATGGAGAGGGGATAGTTGGTCCCACCCTCCCCAAGGCCTCAGAGCCAGCCTGGCCCGCCCTAGATGAGGCAGCCCTGGAGAGAGGGCCTTTTCCCCAGGGCCTGGCAGCACAGGCTCTTCCGTGAGGATGCAAGACTCGTCACAGCAAGAACCCTGGGACCAGCCTGGGATGGGAGGTGAGAGAGGTACCAGAGTCCCCCTTGATGCTGCCTGGCAAAGAAGCACAGATCCTTGCTAATGAACACCGTAAGACCTGTCACAACCCAACACAGCCTGTCCTGCTTGCCCCATTACACCCAAGGGGAAATCAGTGAACAGAGAGGTAAAGCCATGTCCTCAAGGCCACACAGGCTGACAGGTGCCTGGCCTTGGGCCAATGCAGCAAGCCCCCCTCAGATACTGCAGGCTTTATCTTTGTGCCCTGGGTGGGCATTCCCTCAGCCAGAGCCACCGTCCCTGATTCACTGGGCAAACGTCTGTTTCTTCTGCATATTTAGGGGTGCAGACTCTGACACTAGACTGAGGGTCAAATCCCAGCTTCATCCATTATGAGCTGTGTGATGTGGGCAAGTTGCTTAACCTCTGTATTGCAGTTCCCTCACCTATAAAACAGGGATAATAACAGTGCTTAACACTATAGAAAGGAGCCCTGGTGGCACAATGGTTAAGTGCTCAGCTGCTAAGTGAAAGGCCAATGGTTCAAATCCACTCAGTAGCTCTGCAGGGAAAACTCTTGGTGATCTTCTCCAGAAGATGACAGCCTGGAAAACCCTATGAGGACATTCTACTGTCACATGGGCTCAGCATGATTCCAAATTGACTGGACAACAACAATATCATAAGGTGGCCGGAGGATTAAATTAGTGGGTGTATCTAAGTGCTTGGAACGGTGCCGAGCATGCAGTAAGCGTGACATAGAGGTGAATGCTGTGATTACTACCACGACTATAATCATCACTAGGGCAGAGAGGCAGCCTGGCGACTGATTGAGAGCACAGGTTCCAGAGCCAAGTCAGTGTCAGGCAAGTTACTCAATTTCTGGTTGTCCTGCACAGAGAGACAGCCCAGCCAGAAGGAATGCGTAGGAAAGAAGGACACAGGGAAGAGGTACCTACAGGGAGGAAGTGGGAAAGGAGCTGTTGCATTGTGGGAAATTGCCATCAATGTCATGAAACAAAATATGTATGAACTACTGTATGGAAAATGAATTTGCTCTGTAAACTTTCACCCAAATCACAATAAATTAAAAAAAACCAAACTTCTGGTTGTACTGGTTTCCTCATCTGTCAAAGTGAAGACAATAGTAGTTCCTGCTTCCCTGGGCTGTGGCAAGTGTTAAACAAGTTACCATGAGGAAAGCACTTGGAACAGGGACTTGCACAAGGCCAGTGTGCAACTAGTTACTACTACTGTCATCATTATTATTGACTGAGGTACAGTGAGGTGTGGTATTGCATTAATGCAGCTCTCAAATTTCAGAGTAACTCGTCTATTTATCCAAATATTTACCAAGCATTGCTTACATTTTGAGCCCTGTCTAGCTTCTTTGGGGTCATCAAAAGCACGGTTCCTGCCCTCAGAAAGCTCACAGCTCTTAGGAGAAAGTCTTTAGTCCAACCAGTAGGGCGGTAAAACTGACCGCCACTAGGGGGCAGCAGGCGATCGTGTCATAAAATCCTCCGCCGGAGGAAGCGAATGTCTGGCAGCAGAAACCAACTAAGGCTTCGAGAGAAGAGAGGGGTGGGGTTATGATTTAAGCTTCATTCAGTCATTCGTTTATTCGTTCAGCAAACAGTTCTGGGCTAAGGTCGGGGATCAGGCTGGGACCCAAGTATAAAGAATGCACAGAAGTGGACTCTCGGCGTGTGGTGGGAGAACTGGCAAGGCATCTAATTCTCTCACTGCAGGGTGCGCAGGGCTGTGGCAGAGACCAGCAGAGGGCGCCAGAGGACGCCCAAGGAGCAGCGTCTAGAGCAGAGGGTGTAAGTAAGTTGCCTAAGGAAAAGATGCGCCAGGGAAGAGGGGAGCTGGCCAAGCACAGAGAAGGTGGGAGAGTGTTCCAGGCAGGGAGAGGGATGGGCACAGACTTGGAGCTAAGAGCAAACTGTGCACAAGCAGGGCACAACGCCTTCATTGTGGGTAATGGGGGGGCACAAGGGCGTAGGTAGAGGAGCAAGATGGGGCTGAGGGGCGAGGCCTGCAGGCAGCTCAGGTGTGGGCAGGTGCAGCTGCAGTGGGGAGCAGGTGAGGTAGGTGTAACAGGCATGAGAGAAAAGAGGAAAACTCTTGCAGGTCCTCCCGGCCGCCCATATCTGGGCTACATTGTGGAGAAAAGTCTGGAAACCTCCTTCCATCCTTTAACTGATAAGTCTGCCTAGTGGAGTCGGGCTGGGCTGTGAATGCACCCACTGCTTCAGTCATCTGTGTCTTGTGCAGGACATAGCAGCAGGGGAAGGACTGGGGTGGAAGGAACTGGGGGCTTCTGGCCTGACTCAATGGCTGACCCCCACTCCCACCCCATGCCAGTGTGGGCATAACCAGCTCAGCACGCCCCATTCCCCAAGGGTGGCACCGCCATGCACTCCCACCACACGCCAGGCACCACTGGCGCCCTGTAGGGCTGCTGTCCAGTCTCCTCTCAGCTGCCCCTCGGTGGGGCAGTGGGCGGCATGCAGGGGAGGCCAGCCCCGCCTCCCTGAGAGCTGCGGGTTTGGAGGGCAGAAGGTTGCTACAGATCAGCTGAGTCACCGCTGCCAAGAGTGTTTCCAAGGCAACAGCATTCTCCAATCCCTGTCCCTCCATGGAAAGCCAGGCTGCAGGAGGCCTTGGCAACTGAGTGGTACTCTTCATCCTCAGGGATGCTGCAAGGGCAGGGCCACAGAGTCCTTGTCCAGTGTAGTAAGCCTCTAGGGCAAACGCAGTTCCCGGCCCGGCCACCAGGTGGCCACAGGACGCTGCACCCAAACCTCCTGGGAGCCAGAGAGCCAGGTGTCTCAGGGAGACAGAAAGAGTCAGGAGAGTCAGAAAGCCTGGCAGTAGTGAGCCTGGCAGAGGATGCAGGCAGCACCGGTGAGCAGGCCGCTGGTCACTCTGGCCTCTGAATGCATGGTGCCTCCCAGCACAGGGGAAGCGTTACTCCAGGAGAGTTACTTATCACTACTGTCACACAGTATCTTTGTTATGAAGCCAGTTTGTGTGGACAGTGCAGACCTCAGAAAGCCTGACTTCCACACATCCACCATGGAACACCGAGGTCAGTAAGGCAGTATCCTCGCTTCTAGCCTCAGGGCTTGAGTTTCCCCACTGGGGGCACCATCTATGTGCTCCTGGGTCCCAGGGGACTCAGAAGAGATGGAGCTTCCCAGGGAAATACCAGCTCCTTCCAGAAGGCTCTCCCAGACAGTTCACCCTGCAAAAGTGCTCTCTTCCCTAAGCCCATTCCCATTCACTTTATTTCACCACCCACTCGACATCCTATTTCACACGTTTTACTCTCTACGTGTCTACACCACTTTTCTTCCCTACAGTTTCAATCATGAATGGGTTCATGTCTCATTTTTCCAGGAGACTAAACGGCCCTGCTGACCAAAAAACCAGACCAAACTCACTGCCATCAAGTCAGTTCCGACCCTGGTTTCATTGGGTTTCTGAGGCTATAAATATGTAGGAAGGGGATTGCCCCACTTTCCTTCCACAGAGCAGCTGGTGGGTTTGAACCACTGACCTTCTGGGTAGCAGCCAAATGCCTTATCCATTTTATACAGCTGTGCATGTGTGTACGTGTATTTGTGTGTGTATTTTCCTCCATGCAGGGGGCCCAGGAGACCAGCTACACGAAGCTTCCGAAATGGGAAATGCTTGTCCTGTTCCCATGGCAGTCCCCCAACTCCAACCTGCTCTTGCAACAAGGCAGGTGGGAAGCCTGGCCTCTGCTCAATACCCATTCCTGATTGTCACCTGCTGACTAGAGGTCACCCCTCCTAAACACAAACGTGTGGGGTACACAGCTCTGTGGAACAGAGAAGGCAAATGGCCTCCCTGCTGTTGAAGAGTGTGTGTGTGGGGTGCGGTGGGGGGGGTGAGAGGCATGTCAGGGGAGCCCCGAGTTGTCTCCCCTTGCTTTATCTCCTAACAGGGTGCTTCCATGCTCAGTGTCCCCTGGAACAATGTCTCCTCTCCACACAAAGAAAAATGCCCCTCAAGAGTTCTGATGGAGCCCACAGCTGGCAGGACAATGGAGAGAGAGAGGTGGCAGGAGGCTGGGGGGCCTGGGAGAGCAAAACAGTGATGGTGGTCTCGCCCATCATGGACTGTGCACACCATTTTGCATATCATTTCAAGGGGGTTAAGTCAATTCAAGGTGTGATTAGGGCATTCGATGACATCAGAAGGCCTGGTCTTAAATCCTAGCTCTGCTATTCATGGTTGTTGTCAGGTGCTGTCCAGTCAGCTCCAACTCATAGCAACCCTGTGCACAACGCCCTTGTGCACAAAACACTGCAGTCCTGGGCCCGCCTCACAGTCCTTGCTGAACACGAGCCCATCGTTGCAGCCACTGTGTCAGTCCATCTCATTGAGGGCCTTGCCCTTTTTCATTAACCCTCCAACTTTACCAAGCATGACATCCTTCTTCAAGGAATGGTCCCTTCTGACAACATGACCAAAGTAGGTGCGACGAAGTCTGGCCATTCTCACTTCCAAGGAGTATTCTGGCTGCACTTTGTCCAGGACAGATCTGTTAGTTCTTTTAGCAGTCCATGGTACTTTCAGCATTCTTCGCCAACACCACAGCTCAAAAGCATCAACTCTTCTTCAGTCTTTCTTATTCATTGTCCAGCTCTCACATGCATACAAGGCGATTAAAAATACCATGGTTTTCCTGCTACTCAAGCAAGTGATTTAACCTCTCTGAGCATCATTTCTCTCTTCTCTAAAATGGGACAAGAACAAGCGTCTCCTGGGCTGTTGCTCATCACACTACAATGACACAGTGCTCCCGAGGGAGGGGTGGCCTCTAGGGATGTGTGTGAGGGGAGAGTAAAAGGACACGTGACAGACGGAAATGTGCCAGCACAGCACATGGCAGAGTGGAGGTGTCCAAGGGGGTCAGTTATGTTCACATCTGAAGTGACCAGGAGGCAAGAATGGGCAGGGCAGGGAAAAGAAACCAACCAAAACTTAAAAAATGGAAAATGATGATGTTGGTGAGGATGTGGAGAAACTGGAGCCCTCGTGCATTGCTGGTGGGAATGTAAGATGGTGCAGCTGCTGTGAAGAACAGTTAGAAAGCCCCTAAATAAGTTAAACAATGAATTACCACATAGCCCAGCAATTCCACTGCTAGATATAGACCCTACAACCAAGAAAAAACAAACCCCCTGCCACTGAGTCTCTTCGACTCATTGTGAACCTATAAGACAGAGTAGAACTTCACCATAGGATTCCAAGCCTATAAATCTTTGCAGAAGCAGACCACCTCATCTTTCTCCTGTGGAGCAGCTGATGGGTTTGAACCACTGACCTTTTGGTTAGCAGCCAAATGCCTTAACCACTGTACCACTATCAATCCTTGATACATACCCTATAGAACTGAAAACAGGTACTCAGACAGACTTGTACACCAATGTTCATAGGAGCACTATTCGCAATAGTTGAAAGGTAGAAATAACCCTGTCCATCAATGGACGATGGATAAGCAAGATGTGTTGGATGCACATACAGTGGAATATTACCCAGCCATGAAAAGGAATGAAGTTCTGATATACATCACAATTTGAATGAACCTCAAAAATATTATGCTAAGTGAAAGAAACCAGACACAAAAGGTCACATGTATGATTCTATTTATGGGAAATACCCAGAATAGGTAAATCCATACAGATAGAAAGCAGACTGGCGGTTGCCAGGGGCTGGGGGCAGGAGGAATGAAGGATCACTCCTTAGTGGGTACAGGGGCATTTTATTTTGGGGTAATGAAAATGTTTTAGAAACAGAGGTAGAGTTTACATACATTATGTCTGTATTACATGCCACTGAATTGTTTAAAGTGGGTAATTTTATGTTATGTGAATTTCACTTCAATAAAATATACTTTTTAAAATAATAGACGCCAACTCTTCCACATCCCTGTGTCCAGCTGAAGTCAATGCCTGTCCTGGGATCAGCCCAGCACCAACACCATCTTTAAAAACGGAATGCAACGCCAATGGCTGAAATAATTACAGGGCCATGTAAAATCAAACACCAGGGCAGGGATTCTCAAAGAATGATCCCGGGATCTGCAGCATCACCTGGGAGCTTGTTAGAAATGCAAGCTTCTAGACCTCCCTGCAGCCAGGGACCGTGGGGGTGCAACCAGCGCTGGGGCGTTCACCAGCCTGCAGGTGAGGCTGAAGCATGCTCTACTGTGAGGGCGGCAGCACCAAATTACGGACAACCCTGGGCCACTGGGGGTGGTCAGGAAGGGGGGTGGCCAGTGTGGGGCTGTGAATGGCGGAGGAATGAAGCGGTGAGCCTGCCATTCTGGGGTAGAGAGGAAAAGCCTCGCCGGGCCATCGGAAAGGCCCCTATTCAGCCTCCTCACGTGGTGCTGCAGTACAGCCATGCCCGTGCCTCACCCCACCCCACCCTTATGTAAGAGCCCCTGGCGCCTCACCCTTCTCGGTCGATGTGCTGCAGGGGCTGCTTCGGCGTTTGTCTGAGCTTCCGGTGGAACTGGGTGAAGTCCAGTTTTTCTGGCTGCAGGTCCCAGGTGGCACCACTAGGGGGCGAGCGAGGGCGAGAAATGAGAGGCAAGGGGAGCTGAGCTCAGTTAACTGCTGGGAACCAGACAGACACTCCAGGCTCCACGGGGGGCCATGAAGCATCCTCAGAAGGAGGCAGGCAGGAAGGTAGGGGCCCCCTCCACCCAAGGGCAGGGGTGTAACAGGGGCCCCTCACTCAGAATGGAGCCTGAAGTAGGCAGACATGGGGGGAGACTCCATGAGACATCCTTCCCTTCTCTCATCCTTGCTGTGTGAAATGCATGCTTAGAAAACAAACAGGATGCTTACTATACGGTGGTCCCCATGCCGTGAGGAACCTCACCCAACACCTGCCCTTCCAACCTGGCCCATCAGGAACCTTCTTGAGTCTGAATCACTCACAACCTATCTTCTCCTCCAGACCCCTCTGCAGACAACCTCAGGTGGGGAGCAATGGGGGTCTGTCGTCATGGTTACCGTCCTGGACTCTGGCACAGGTGGGCACCAGACCAGGCCCAACATCCACAATGGACCACTCTCTTTGCTCTTCCATCTCCCTGGTGTCTCCTCTGCCTTCTCTCCCTCCCCTCTTTGGTTGGACTGTCCATTTCTGTCTTTTCTCTCTCCCTAACCTTCTCTTCGTTGGCCTCCTCTTCATTCCCTTAGATTCCTCTCTCCCCTTTGATGCTCTCATTCCCATTTTTCTCCCTTTGATCTCCTTTTCTCTTTCTCTGAACTTCTCCTTCTTCAGCCTCATGCTCCCTACTGTAGTCCCCCCAATCTTGGTTTCTTTCCAACTTCTGATGGGTCAGCAGTCCACATTTATTCAGCCCCAAAGACTCTACTTGACACTGGCGCACGGGTCAAGTAAGCTAGGAGCCCAGTCAGGACCACTCCCCACAGAGAAAGGAGCCAGGGAACTCACCTGAAGGAATCGAAGGTGTTGGCTGCCCAGATGTCTGTGCCCAGCATGTCCAGAGAGTTGTCTTTGCTGCCATTCTGGAAGGGATGGGGGATCAAAGGGTGGCATTATTTGCTTGGCAAGGATGCTGAGAAGAAGCGAGTTGCCAGTCTACCTAAGGCTCAAACCCAAGAAGGCAGCAGAGGCCCTCCCTGTCCCCCTCAGCTGGCTGTTCTGGGCAGCTCAGACGCCGAGTGGTCCACTGGCGCGAGTGTGCCAGCTGGTGCACCCACAGTCAGGAGGACCCTGTAGAGGACTCTGGCCTCCCTCGGCAGGCACAAGCCCTCGTTTTACTGGTGTTTTACAGATGCATGGGGTCAAGTGCAGAGATATCCAGACCTCTGCTGTCCCAGCCCACGGCTCTCTCCTCAAAGCCTCCACACCCAGCAAGGGCTCCATACAACCTGCTGACAAGCCACCACCAGTGCCAGCCTGAAGCCTTGGCTTCTCCCCAGTTAGGAGCTCTGCAGGGCCAGGCAAACTGGAGGGTCCACAGAGCTTAGAGTTAAGTCCCAATCCTCCAACTCAGGCAGAAGCCAGAAGCCCCCAGTGGCCAAGGTAACATCAGCAACTGAATTTCTCACAAAGCAACACTCTCCTGTCTTCACCTTCCAAAGTTTCCAACGTGATCCACCCCCCAGACGGAAAGCCGTGCACTTGATCCAGTCCCTAGGGTTTGGTTTCTCTGCCCTTTGGCTGACAAAGTTCTCCAGTCTCCTGCCTTTACTCCTGATGCCATCCATCCCTCCTTATCCCTGGAGTCTGGTTCCATCATCACACTCTTCAGAGAAAACAATATGTCCACATAACCTAAAACATGCACATGCCTTGTGACCCGGGAACTCACTCCTAGGTATAAACACAACAGCCATGTGCACATATGTCCACGAAATGCCATATACACAAAGGGGGACAGCAACAGTCTACATAATTGCCCTCAACTGGAAACCACCCAAATCCCTATCAATAGTTGATTGGATAATTGACTTGTGGATGTTCACATAGGGGTATATTACACAGCAGTGGGAATAAAATTAAAACAACATGCAACAACATAAATAAATCCTACAAATGCCATGTGGGGCAAAAATAATCCAGACACAAAAGAATCCCTTCTGTATGGTTCAAGTGATACAAAGTTCAAGAACAGGCAAACTAATCTATGCTTTTGAGTTGCGGTGTTGGAGAAGAATGCTAAGAGTACCATGGTCTGCTAAAAGGACTAACAAATCTGTCCTGGAAGAAGTGCAGCTGGAATGCTCCTTGGAAGTGAGAATGACCAGACTTCATCTCACCTACTTTGGTCACGTTGTCAGAAGGGACCATTCCCTGGAGAAGGATGTCATGCTTGGTAAGGTGGAGCGTCGACAAAGGAGGGGAAGGCCCTGGACGAGATGGATTGACACAGTGGCTGCGGCGATGGGCTCAGGTGTAGCAAGGATTGTGGGGTTGGCCCAGGCCCAGGCAGTGTTTCGTTCTGTTGTACACAGGGTCGATATGAGTAGAAGCCAACTCGACAGCACCTAACAACAACAGCTAATCTATGGTGACAGAACTCAGTTCAGGGGAAAAGGGGCTGGTAATGCTCTAGTTCTTGAGCTGGGTGCTGGAGACACAGGAGGCCACAGTTTGTGAGAATCACTGGGCTATACACTTCTCTCTCTGTGTCATAACCTCCTGGCTGGATTTTTGCAGCCTCCCTAGTCCTCATTTGTGGGACCCTTCTGCAGGGCCTCATTCTATTGACATTAATTAATCCCTCCTGGGACCTGTCATTTCTCAGCTCCACTTGGTCATACATTGGATGATCTTCTCTTGAGCACCTGCCATGTGCCTAGGCCTGGGCCAACATTGAGCATGAAAAGGTGAAGTTACAGACTTGCCGTCCAATAATGGGATGAGATGACACACACGTAATAAGTAATTACAATACACTATGCTATGTGCTGGGAGCTCTGGTGGTATAGTGCCTAAGGCA